GCCATCTCTAGGTTCTGAATCTAATCCCACCTGCAAAGTCCCTCCTGCCACATAAGGTGACGTCTTCACAGGCTCCCTGGGATGAGGAGAGGGACATCTTTGGGGGCTGTGGTTCTGCCCACCACAGAGATGGCCTTGAAGAGGAAGATGACATGAAGGTGGGACCCTCTCCCTCCAGGTAACTGAAGCCAAGGTGAGCCACTGAGGGCCAGGTGAGGCTGGGAGGGCGGCACCTGAGCCTGGGGCCAGAGGAAGCACCCATGGAAGCCCATGGGCTGTTTGAGCTTTCAAGGAGACAGACCAGGGACGCCTGAGGGGCAGAGCTGGGTCACAGTAAGCACCCGTCAAGTCCAGGCTGTGGGTGCCTCTCCCCCGAAAGGAATCAGAGCTCCCCAAGGCCAGGGCGGGAGGGGACAAGACAAGAACCTCTTGTCCCACCCAAGAGCCACGAAGCTGCCAGGACAACCAGGGAAGGTCATAAAGTCAGCAGATGTGGAGGTGCCACTGGTCACAGACAGGACACGGTGGCTGCATTTGGAAAAGTAAGGCCACCAAATGTGTTTAAAATCACGCAAAATGGTGCTCAGAACATGACGGTCGCTGTTAGAAGAAGCAACTCGTCACTCTGCACTTGGTGAACCAAGGAAGGTAGCCAGGGACCCTCCTCCATCCCGCAGGAGCCAGGCGCAGGGAAGGAGGCACAGATGTGCTTCCTGTGAGATTCTGGCTCATAAGTGAACAGGGCTCGTGGACAGCGAATCCTGCTCAAGCACCCCGTGAATGAACAGCGGGGCAAACGTCCCCAGGTGACAACCAGAGAGACGCAGCAGAGCACAGCCAGCAAGCCCTGAGGGAAATGCAGCAGGCCCAGGCCTTCACAGAGGTACTGCCCAGGCACCGTGGCAGTGTGGGGGCGCACTGCAGAATCCCCCAGCCAGCGGCCAGCCAGCTTCGGCAGAACCACCTCGAGGGCCCTATGCTGAGAAACCTAAGATGCCTCGGCCAGTGAGTGCTGGGGAGACCCTGGTTCCAGCGAGCCTGGGACATACCACGAGGCTGTCAGGGAGAGGCGAGCACTGAGCCAGGGAGACTCGGCAACCGCTGGATGTGATTCTCAGGTGGATGGCGGTTTTGTGATTGTACATTCAAAACAAACAGAGACCCCATCGGTGAGGGGTTCCTGCTTCTATTTACAGATAGGGTGTTTCTTTTTTAGGTCTGGGATTTGCTTTTACACATTTGTAGGGAGAACGCAGACTGGTGTGAGGATGGGAAGCTGGTCGAGCAGGCATGAATCGCGGCAGCAGGAGGCGGGTGGAGCCGGCACAGCGTGGATCGCGGCCTTAGGAGGTGGGTGGAGCCCGCACAGTGTGGATCGCGGCAGCAGGAGGCGGGTGGAGCCTGCACAGCGTGGATCGTGGCAATAGGAGGAGGACAGAGCCGGCACAGCGTGGATCGTGGCAACAGGAGGCGGGTGGAGCCGGCACAGCATGGATCATGGCCTTAGGAGGCGGGTGGAGCCACCACAGCGTGGATCACCGTGGATCGCGGCAGTAGGAGGAGGACGGAGCTGGCACAGCGTGGATCCTGGCAGTAGGAGGCGGGTGGAGCCCGCACAGTGTGGATCACGGCAGTAGGAGGAGGATGGAGCCGGCACAGCGTGGATCGCGGCAGTAGGAGGAGGACGGAGCCGGCACAGCGTGGATCCTGGCAGTAGGAGGTGGGTGGAGCCCGCACAGCACTCTCCCTTTCTTCACATGTGTGTGGAACTCTCTGTGATTGAATGTTATGGTTTCGACACTGATCATGGGCACTGAAATAAACGGGTGCATCCACACACTGGGAAATGCTACACTCCACAGAGGATTCACGTACGACCTCTCCCGAAAGAAGGTGAAACTACAGAAAACAGTGTTCTGCTTGAATAAAACCGCTCCCTTCCCCTGGAGAGACGCCACGGGGTGCGGAACAGGGAGCTGGGCCTCCACACTGAGGAAAGCAGCCCAGCTTCTGTGGCCAGCCCTTCCCGAGGGGCAGGACCCGGGATCCACATGGCTGTCCCGCCCCTCAGCTTGGGAAAGGGCAGGGCTTGCTGGTGGTGCCACGGGGGTGTCTGTGACAGGTGGGAGTCGCTGCAGGCGGAAGGCCAGGTCTCCCCTCCACACCCCTCCTCCCACACCCCAGGAGCTGAGGGCCAGGGTGTGCTTGGGAAGCAGGTGGGCCAGCAGGGGCCAGCAGGTGGGAGCAGCCAGGCTGTCCCAAGGACAGAGGGGGCCAGGCAGGGAGCCAGGAGCACCAGGTGGTCAGGAGGACAGCTGGGACAGGCCAGCACCTGTGACCCTCGGCCAGGCTGGGGCTTGGGGGTGGGGGCCAGGCTATTGGGGTCACCAGGCACCAGTGGGAGGTGTATCTGAGAGTCCCAGTCCTGGAGAAGCAAATCACATCCTGACCTGGGCTGTGGAGGTCACACAGAGAATGCATCCCCCAGCACGGGCACCACACTCTGCTACTGACCAAGAGCCTGCACAACGGGGTTCTCTGGAGCCCCTCGCCCCAGCCTGGGAGGCGGCCACAGCACAAGGCCCCCAGAGTATGGACTGGAAGATGCCAACGGCCTCCAGGGACAGGAGGGGGGCCCAGTGGGTCGGTGTTTGCCAGTTTCCTTGATGTAGAGACTCCTGCCACGGTCACGGTCAGGCCACCGTGATGTCACCTGGTGCAAACACTCCTGAAACCTTAACAGCTGGCTGTTAGGAGCTGCCTTTAACTGTCCACTGTCATGAGCCTGCACAAGCTCGCTCTGCAACCCCATGGGGTTCACGGCTCCTCTAGCCCTGCTGGGCCCACAGCTGTGGACTCACAGGTCCCTTGGCCCCATGGCACTGCAAGGTCTAGGGGAGGGGGAGGCCTGGGGTTCCAGCTGGGCTGCAGAGTTGCAGACAGCAGAATCCACGCTTGCTCACTGAAGCACAGTGAGCTTTACTGAGGGCTCACAGAAGGGCTGAAAGGACCACAGAGGCAGACACGGGCACAGTCCCGGCCAGCAGTATGGTCACTCGCACCAGCACCTGCCTCTCCAAGTTCAGAATCCAACAGATGTGCAAACGCATCCGACTGGTGGACAGAAATCCCATGGAGACCAGCTGCAGGGAGCTGGGGCTCATCACTTTCAGCTCCTGTCCGCTGCGGTCCAGGAAGGCCAGGCAGGCGAGCCTCACACTAGAGGATGTGCCGGAGCGTCCAGGGCTCCAGGCCACCCTCTGTGCCGTGTGCCGTGGGGTCAGCTGCCTCCCAGCCCTGGGCCACACCTGCTCAGAGTTCCTCAGGAGCCCGGCTCCCGGCCTTCCTGCCTTGGCTCTGCAGACCTTTTGCAGACCTCAGGAAGAACTGCCCAAGACGGCAGCTCCGCCCTACAGCCTGTCTGAGGGCGCATGCATGTCTTCACATTCCACAGAGTGTGAGCAGTCGTGGAGCTCAATGGGAAACGGCCTTTGCTGGCTGGCGCTGCCTTCAGCCTGGACCCTCGTCCCCGTCTCCTGCCTGGTGACCTCTGGGTGGAGCCAGAGCTTCCTGGCCGCTTCAGTTGTGAAACACACATCCAGGTTTAGCCCAGCGTCTTGTACAGTTTACAAATGCCATCCACCTCCCTGCAGGCCAGACTGGGGGCCCCAGGCTCTGAGGCGGGAGGGGTTCCCTGGTTCCCCTCCTGTGCGCAGCCCCTGCAAAGGAGGCTGGGGTCTCTTGGGGCCAGATTCCCCTCCACAGGGCCTTCCACCAGAGGGGCCTCCTCACTCCCTGCAGCTGACGGCATCCCCCACGCCCCACAGCCTGCCACACAACCCCTGCAGGCCCATACTCTGCACCCCCAGAGGCTCCAGCCAGCTTCTGTGCCGCCTGCGCGGGGACTGGGCCTGGGAGTCTCCCTGCCATGGGTAGCTTTCCTGTCCCAGGGAGCCCCACCACACCAGGGACGGCCCCACGGATCAGGATGGTTCTGCTGGTGGCCACATCAGCTCCGGGCCCACCCCCCACTGGGGACCCCACCGCACACCAGTGTGCCTCTGGGCAGGTATCTGGGGCTCCGAAGCCCAAGAAGAAACTCGAGAAGGAGGAGCGACCCAGGCCTGGGCTCCTCTCCCAGGGTGAGGGTGAGGGTTGGGTTGGGGGTTAGCATTAGGGTTAGGGCAAATGATGAGTCCCCTGGCAGTAGGGAAAGAGCCCCTAAAAATGTGAGATGGGACTGGGCAGCACCCACAGGACTCAGGGCCAAGCCAGGAGCCTGCCTTCACCACCCACGCCTTGGTCCACACTCTCCTTGGGACCTGGGGTCACACGTGCCAGGCAAACCCACCACAGGCTCCCTGGCATGGAGAAGGGGTGGCAGGAGCATGCCAATTGCCACATGAGCCCAGGCCCAGCGGCCAGGCCAGCAACAGTTAACAGTTCACCTGCCCCGCCTGCATCCATCAGGGAGCCAGGAGGGCACCAGTCCTTCACCCACACATCCTCATCCTTTGCTTCTAGCCACTTGTCCTCCAGATAGAAACCCCCACGGGCCCAGGTACTCCATCGTGTCAGTGCCTACTTCCTCCAAACAGTGGAACCAGACCCCCCGCCACGTGCTGGGCCTGTCTGGACCACCAGGACCACGTGGCCCCACCCAGCACCGGCGCACTCTGTTCTAGCTCTCACCAGAAGGGTGAGCAGCGCTGGAGGTCTTCGTCCTCCGAGCACAGCAACATTCAGGCAGCGTGGCATGAGGAAAGCAGGCAGGGATGGCACTGCCTCCACTCACACACTGGGCCCGGCTCCCCACCCTCCCCGCATCTGCACAGGGGAGCAGAGCAAAGCCCACCAAGACCCTCACAATGCAGACGGCCCCGTGACTCACTCTGCACACACTGGGCACAGCAGGGCCAGCACGCACACTGGACAGGCTCTCACCTTCCACTTCAAATCGCCTGATGCTTTCCAAACAGAAACCACCTGAAACTGCTAACCATTTTTAAGCATCTGCTTGGTGAAACATCTCTACATTCACACATTTCCGTCAACACAGTGTACACTGAGAACTCATTTGCTCCCCCCAAAAATACTGAAAGTACTTTAAAATATAAACACTCATTAAAAAGACAATAAAAATAAAATCAGGAATTACTGTCATATAGGTGGAGGTAATACCTAACCTGAATGTGAAGTAAGGTAAGAAAACCGAGCACTAAATTATCTCTGAGATTCCTGGCAGCAAAGGTGAAAAGAGAGAGGTCCTGTTGCTAGAGAAACTGAAGCATCCCATTGACTGGCCTTGAAACATCAAACACCAGTACTCCTGGCCTTGGAAAAAGAGCTGTTTTAGATCTCAGTGAGTAGAAAAGCAAGGCACAGGGCCAGGCGCGGTGGCTCACACCTGTAATCCCAGCACTTTGGGAGGCCAAGGCGGGAGTATCACTTGAGGCCAGGAGTTCGAGACTGGCCTGGCCAACGTGGTGAAACCCTGTCTCTACTAAAACTACAAAAGTTAGCTGGGTGTGGTGGTGCATGCCCATAATCCCAGCTACTGGGGAGGCTGAGGCAGAAGTGATTGAGTCCGGGAGGTGGAGGCTGCAGTGAGCCGAGATCACGCCAGGGCAGGGCTTCCCACAACAGGCACAGCCGGAGGGGCAGGAAGCAGGCAGGGCCCGCATGTGTGGCTGCTGCCTGCCCCTGGGCGATCGACCCTGGACTTCCCACAGGTCTCTCTCGGTACTGCTCACCCCATCACTGGAATGAAATTTTGGCACTAGAGTTACTGAAAACAAACGTTGTGAGAATAAAGGACAGTGTGAGCAGCACATCCCACTTAGCTCTCTAGAAAAACCTGGTCTCTGCTACTTTGCTCCTGAAACAGGGCTCATGTTCCAATGTACTCGGAACATACTGACAGGGCTCATGTTTACCCACAATGCACTCTGTAGGCAAAGAGGGCAAGCCAGCTCCCCAGCACAGGACTTATCAGCGCCTTCAGCAGGTGAACCTGCACCCAAGCCCCCTCTCGTGAGCCCTCACGCTGTGGAGTGTGCCCTTCCTCCTCTGAGTGCATATCCACAGCCTGCGGCCCCAGGTGGCAGAGGCTGCCACGGTAGAAGGAAAGAGGACTGCCACCATGGACAGCCCAGGCTGAAGTCCCACTGGGATCATCTCCTGACGGTGTCGTCACGGGCAGTCACTCCGTTTCTCTAAGCTTCAGGTTCCTCATCCGTCGAGCGGATCTGGTGGCAAAACCTCCCTGCCTGAATGTGCTGCTGCACCCGAGTGCGGGGGTGGGGCACAGCATACATGTCTGTGACACCTGCCTCGGGGGACAGCAGAAGCAGCATCAGTCACCGGCGAGGGTCTGCTGGAACAGACACTAGGGCCCCAGGCCGAGGGGGTCCTTGGAGGCGGGCGCGCTGGGCAGAGACTTCAGGTACTCCAGGTGCCGGCGGGCATCCTCCTGGTTGTGGCGCACATAGTACACGACATAGGTGATGACCATGGTGAACCAGCCGAACATGGTGACCAGCATGGCCACGTCGGTGGTCCTATGGGGGACACTGCAGAGGCTGGCACCTGCGTCCAGAGCCTGAACCAGAGGCTTCCCCACGAACTTCTCCTGCACCGAGGTGTGGCAGGTGATCTCGTCCACAGAGTCTGGGTCCAGCTTCAGCTCCCACAGGGCCTCCTGCAGGGCACACTCACAGTGCAGGGGGTTGTGGGACAGGCGTATCTTGGCGCCGAGCTTGCCCAGGGCATCCTTGGGGATCCGCTGGATACGGTTGAAGGACAGGTCCAGCAGCCGCAGGCCCCCAGCCAGGCCCGTGAAGGTGGAGGGGCCAATGGCCTCGATGGCGTTGCGGGACAGATCCAGCTCCCTGAGCCGGTGCAGGTGCTGGAAGGCCCCATCTGGGAGGTGGGAGATCTGGTTGGCGTGGAGCTTCAGGAGCACGGTGTCGGTGGGGATGTCCTGGGGGACCTCCTGCAGGCCCCGAAAGCTACAGTCTACAGCCACGGACCCCACGTGGTCAGGGCACTGGCAGGGCTGTGGGCAGGAGTCTCCCAGGCACAGGCAGAAGAGGAGGAAGAGGCAAGACGCCCGGGCGAAGACCAGCAGCAGTGAGGGGTGAGGTGGGCCCATGGAGCCCATACTGACCTGGCCTGGGGCAGGGATACGTGCCCTCTGCTACGGCCTGGGGATGGAACTCTTCGCGGGGACAAGGCCTCCTCCAACCAGACGCGAACCCGCCGTCCTGCCCCCCTGGGAGAAGCAGTGTGCTCCACTCTGGCAGCTCTGAAAGGGAAGAAGCAGGAGGGAGGGGGGTAGGGAAGAAGGAGGGAGGTGGTCAGCGCTGCCTGCTGCAGTCACCTGGGAAACGCAGTGGGGATGGTGCCGAGTGCCCACTGAAGGGTCTGGGGTGGGGAGGCGCCTCGTTAAACAGCTCTGCCTGAAACTTACTTCTGGAGACTCCCAGTATGTGCCTGGGAGGAGCATCGCACAAGTGCAGGGAGCTGGCACCGCCAGGGGGTCCTGTGTGACCCAGGCGGTGGTCACTGCGGCCAGCCCTGGCCACCTACCGCACCGCTGGGGACCAAACGCCGGGCGGCCGGGAGGCGGCGGCCTGGGAGCACCAAGCCCCTCCTCAGGGTGGAAGCCGGGAGGCTGGGGACGGCTGGAGCTCCTCCCGAACCTGGAGCGCGGGTCAGGCCGGGCACGTGGCCGGGCACCAGCGGGCGCTCGCGCGCCAGGGGCTACTCCCGCGGCCATCGCCCGGCTGACTCCCACAACCCCGGAAAATCGGAATAACCCAGCAAGCGCTTCCCCGCCCGCCCTGACGGAGTCGCGGCTCGCACCGGGCACGGAACCGCGCCTTTTCTTCAACCCCCCGGAGAAGGAAACGGAGAAAACAGAAGCCAAGCCCTGTGCGCGCGGCCCGCTCTGGGCGTGGATGGCGGGGCCGCGCGCAGAGCTGCCGGGCGGGGCGCGGACCCCGGGACCTCCAGCCTTTAGGCCCTCGGCCCTGGGACCCCCGGAACCTGGGACCCCGGGACCCGGCACTCGCGGCGGGGGATGGGCACGGGTAAGCGGGGGAGCCACGCTCCCGGGGCTGGGTGAGGGCTTTACCTGCGCGGCTGCGGCTGGAGGCTGCTCTGCGAGCCGCTGCCGGGCCTCTCGGAGCCCGCCACACCCCTCCGCAACACCCGGCGCGGCGGCGACCCCGCTGCCCCTGCGCCCGCGCCCCCGACCACTCGCTGGGGAGGCCGCGGCTCCGGCCTGCGTGGGCGAGGGGCGGGGAGGGGCGGGGCCTGGACCGAAGGGCGTGGCAAAAGGCGGAGACTGGCGGGGGTCGATCCCGTGGGGCGGGGCCTAGGGGCAGGGGCGGGGAAGGGGCGGGGCATGTAGGGAAACCTGAACGGGACTTGTAGTTAGGCAGGGGCGGGGTTTGGGGGCGGGGCCTAATGTAGGGCGGGGATTGAGGGGGATTGAGCGGTGTGAGGCTTTAGACGGAGCTGGTTCTGAGACCCAGGTCGCAAGGGCTGTGGGCGGGCTGTGGGCGTGGTTTTGGGGGTGTGGGCGTGGTTGTGGCGTGTGGGCGGTGCCTGCGGGCCGGGAGGGGCTGTGGGTCGAGACCGTGGCCCTCACTCTGGGCAAATCCTCTCTTCCCTCTGGCACCGGACTTATGGGGCTTGAAGACACTGGGTCTGCGGGAAGCCCATGCTAGGGGGTGAGTAGGGCTAGATCTCCGTCCGTTTATGTCCTCTCCTGCGCACGACCCCAGCTCCTCCACCCGGCGTATAAGGCAGGAAATGCAGGATGGGGGCATTTGAGCTGGACCTGGGCTGTTCTCATGGTTTTCAAAAAGTAGTTTTGTCTTGGCGTAATTGATAAAGCCACATACTTCAATTTGATACGTTTTGACACTTGGATACTCCTGTGAAACCATCACCACAATCTGTGTAGTAAACACCCTGGGTTCCCTCTTGGTCATCTCATCACAGGCAAGCACTGATCTGCCTTCTGTCACTACTGATTACTTTGCATTTCCTGAGATTTGCATAAGTTGAATCACACAGTATATACTTGTGTAGCTTCTTTCACTCGGCACAAGCATCTTTTAGATTCGCCTGTGTGTTGTGTGTATCAATGCGGACTTCCTTTACCAGCGCGTGGTCCAGCGTATGAATGTACCACGGTGTGCATCCACTCACCAGCTGTGGGCATTTGGGTTGTTTCTGGTGCCGACTCTTACAGATAAAGCTTATCCAAACATTGTGTACAGGTCTTTGGATGAAGACTTTTCTTTCTCTTGACCCCATATCTAGGAGCGGAGTGGCTGGATGCCATGGCAGCCGTATGTTAAACCTTTTTTAAAAACTGCCAAGGTGATTGTACGGTTTTACATTCCACATCCTCGCCAGCGCTTGGTATGGTCCATCTTTTCAATTTCAGATATTTTAACAGGTGTGTGGCAGTAGACGGAATCGTGTTTTTAAGTTGCGTTTTCCCGTTGGCCAGTGGTGTTGAACACTGTTTCATCTGTTTATTCCCCATCCCTGCAGGAAGTGTTGAGCTCAAATCTTTTTTTTTTTTTTTGAGGCGGAGTTTCGCTCTTGTTACCCAGGCTGGAGTGCAATGGCGTGATCTTGGCTCACCGCAACCTCCACCTCCTGGGTTCAGGCAATTCTCCTGCCTCAGCCTCCTGAGTAGAAGGGATTACAGGCACACGCCACCATGCCCAGCTAATTTCTTTTTATTTTTAGTAGAGACGGGGTTTCGCCATGTTGACCAGGATGGTCTCGATCTCTTGACCTCGTGATCCACCCACCTCGGCCTCCCAAAGTGCTGAAATTACAGGCGTGAGCCACCGCGCCCGGCCTCTTTTACTCACTTTTAACTGGGTTGTTTATTTTCTCGTTACTGAGTTTTGGAGTTGGTTGTATATTTTGGATACAAGTCCTTTATCAGATATGAGATCTGTAAATGTTTTCACTGAGCCTTTGGATTGTGTCTTCATTCTCATAACAGTCTTTCCCAGAGCAGACGTTTTTAATTTTGAGAAAGTCCAATTTATCTGTTTTTCTTATACAGATACTGCTTTATGTAAGAAATCTTTGCCTCACCCAAAGTCACAAGGGTTTTAGAGTTTTAAAGATTTGCATTTGGGTCTATTACCTATTTTAAGTTGATTTGGGTTTATGGTTTGAGATATAATTCAAAGTTTATGTTTTGTGTATGTGGCTAATTAGTTTTTTCAAGGCTGTTCAAAAGACTATCCTTTCTCTGGTTTGCTGAGAGTTTTTTTAATGGGGAATAAAAGTTGGATTTTGTTTTTCTGCGCCTGTTGAGAATCTTTTTGCTTGATGGTCTGTTAATATGATAGAGCATACTGATTGCTTTTAAAGTGTTAAACCAATCTTGTGTCCTTGGGATATACTTCACGTGGTCATGATGTATTATCATTTTTATATGTGGTTGAATTATTTAATGGATATACAACTGCTGAGGTTACTTTATTCTTGACTGAATGTATGTAGTTTGTATCACTCAAGAAACTGCCCATTTCATACACTTTGTTGAATTTATTAGCATAAAGTTGTTCATAATATTCCCTTATCCTTTCAACATCTGTGAAGTATGAAGTGATGTCACCTTTCTCATTTCTGATACTGGTAATTTGTGGCTTTTTTTTTTACTGAACAATCAGATAGAAATTTATCAATTACATTGATCCTCAAAGAAATAGCTTTGGCCGGGCGCGGTGGCTCAAGCCTGTAATCCCAGCACTTTCGGAGGCCGAGGCGGGTGAATCACGAGGTCAAGAGATCGAGACCATCCTGGTCAACATGGTGAGACCCCGTCTCTACTAAAAATACAAAAATTAGCTGGGCATGGTGGCGCGTGCCTGTAATCCCAGCTACTCAGGAGGCTGAGGCAGGAGAATTGCCTGAACCCAGGAGGCGGAGGTTGCCGTGAGCTGAGATCTCACCATTGCACTCCAGCCTGGGTAACAAGAGTGAAACTCCGTCTCAAAAAAAAAAAAAAGAAATAGCTTTTCGGTTTCACTGAATGTTGTCCTTTTTTTTTCATTGACTCTCACTCTTATCTTTATTCTTTCTTTTGCTTACTTTTTTTTTTTTTTTTTTGAGACAGAGTCTTGCTTTTCTGCCCAAGCTGCAGTACAGTGGGGCGATCTCAGCTCACTGCAACCTCCATCTCCCAGGTTCAAGCATTTCTCCCGCCTCAGCCTCCTGAGTAGCCGGGATTACAGGCATGAGCCACCAGCCTGGCTAATTTTTGTATTTTTTGTAGAGACGGGGTTTCGCCATGTTGGCCAGGCTGGTTTCAAACTCCTGACCTCAAGTGATCTGCCCACCTCAGCCTCCCAAAGTGCCAGGATTACAGGCGTGAGCCACCGCACTGGCCTCTTTTGCTTACATTGGGTTTGACTTTCTCTTCATTTTTAGGTTTCTTAATGTGGAAGCTGGGATCACTGATGTGTGACCCTCTTTACTAGTATAAGCATCTAGCACTATAAATTTCCCTCTAAGTCCAGCTTTAACTGCATCCCAGAAATTTTGACATATTGTATTTTTGTTTCCATTAAGTTTATAATAATTTACAATTTTCCCTCTGATTTTTTTTTTTGATCCATGAGTTTAGAAGGACGCTATTTCATTTTCAGATATTTGGGTGTTTTCCAGAGCCCTTTCTGCTATTGATCATTAATTTAAATCCATTGTTGTGAGAGGACATAGTCTATGTTTTGGATCCTTTCAAATTTATTGAGACTCATTCACGGCCCCAACAATGGTTGGCAGTTGTATGTGCACTTGAATCTGTGTTCTGCTGCTCAGTGGATCGCCCTATAAATGGTAACGACTGTGTTATTGAGTAGTCTAAATTATCACCCACTTTCTGTCTACTTGCTCTGCTAATTACTGAGAGACCAGCCTGGGCAACAAAGTGAGACACCATCTTTATAAAAAAATCAAAAAATTAGCCATGCATGGTGGCATGTGCCTGCTACCTGGGAGGCTGAGGCAGGAGGATTTCTTGAGCCCATGAAGTCAAGGCTGCAGTGAGCCCTGATTGTGCCACTGCATTTGAGCCTGGGCTACAGAGGCAGTCAGAGGTTTCCACACCCCTATCAAGCAAGCAAGCAAATTCTTAATAGTGGTGTCGAAACCTCTGACTGCAGATTCACATTCACCTGTAATTGTTCCTTGCAGCTCTCTCAGCTTTTGCTGCTGTGCTTTGAGACCTGCGCTCACATCGTGCATGCTCTTGAGTGGCTGACCTCTGTGTCATCACGAAATGACCCTCTTCGTCCCTAGACTCCGACTTGAAATTGACTCCTGCTTTCCTTCGATTAGTTTAGCTCGGGATAACTACTTTCGCCTTTTTCCTTTTTACCTAGTGTGTCTTATACTTAAATTAGCTTCCTTGGAGATTTCACTAGGATCAAAGTATCAGCTTCGACATGTTCGTTAACTTTAAAAAAAGTGGTAACCGCTTTTCAGTGGTGAAACCACCTCATCCGCGTGGCAAACTCGGCCATCAGGGTGAGGCAGGCTGGCATCACGCACCCTCGGTACAGCACTCTGAGAAGGACGTCATTTCTCCGATATTCCTGCCAAAATGCATCGCCCTTTTCCAATCTCAAGAACACCCCAGGCACACCCCGACTGAGAAACACTCTAAAAAGTGACTGGTCAGTGCGTTCAAAGGCAAAAAGCTCGTGGAAGACAAGACAGAAGTGAGTGACAGCTGAGTGCAGCGTGGAGCCCTGGAAGGGACAGAACACGAGGGGAGGAACTGCAGAAGCTGAGTGGGGGCAGCGGTCCGGCTTGCCCGGTTTTGCGGGGGTGACTCTGGCCTTGCTGACCTTGTTTTGAGGTGAGGATCACTCTGGCCGGCCGGTGTGTGCTCATTCTTCCCTGGACGCTCCAGCCGGCCCTGTTCCTCTGAACTGTCTCCCAGCCTCAGGTCTCCCTCAGGCTTCCATGTGTGTTCCCCAGCTGGCTTCCCAGCAGCGGCTCTGCTGCCCTTTCAGTGGCTGCCCCAGGGCAGAGCGTGACCCACCCCCCGCTTCTCCAGCCCCAGCAGGTCAGGCATTTGGTAAGATCCTCCAAGCAAGCGCCACCACCCTTGCCTGGACCCCACACTGTCACCGCAACACCTTCTCCACAACACACGGTTAGGATTTTTGCTCGAAATCAGCAATTACCTCTTAAAGGGATTAAAATAATATGAACGGTGAAGCTGATATGTTAAAAGCGGAAGAGACGCCAAACCCAAA